TTTCATTTAAGCATTTTGTGAGCAATTATGAGCACTTATTCATTTTAAAATTGGTTTATTGGTTTTAAGTATAATAGACAAAAACTATTCTGTATTTTAAATTATTAATTACTAATTAAATAATAAAGTAATAACGTGAGCAATTGCAGATTTTAATTGAACATTTAGTGAGCAATTATGAGCGCATATTCATTAATCTGATTGGTGTAGGAAAAACAATTTTGTATTTTAAATTATTAATTAATAATTAAATAATTAATTAATAGTGTAAACAATTGCGGATTTCATTTAGCATTTTGTGAGCAATTATGAGCACTTATTCATTTTTTTGGTTTTATTGGTTTTAAGTATAATAGACAAAAACTATTCTGTATTTTAAATTATTAATAACTAATTAAATAATAAATTAATAATGTGAGCAATTGCGGATTTCAATTGAGCTTTTACTGAGCAATTATGAGCACTTATTCATTAATCTGAATTGTTTAGGAAAAAACAATTTTGTATTTTTAATTATTAATAAGTAATTAAATAATTAATTAATAGTGTAAACAATTGCGGATTTCAATTAAGCATTTTGTGAGCAATCATGAGCACTTATTCATGTCAAAATTGGTTTATTGGTTTTAAGTATAATAGACAAAAACTATTCTGTATTTTAAATTATTAATAACTATTTAAATAATAAATTAATAATGTGAGCAATTGCAGATTTGAATTGAGCATTTAGTGAGCAATTATGAGCATATATTCATTAATCTGAGTGGTTTAGGCAAAACAATTTTGTATTATAAATTATTAATAAATAATTAAATAATTAATTAATAGTGTGAGCATTTGCGGATTTAAATTAAGCATTTTGTGAGCAATTATGAGCACTTATTCATTTTAAAATTGGTTTTTTGGTTTTAAGTATAATAGACAAAAACTATTCTGTATATTAAATTATTAATAACTAATTAAATAATAAATTAATAGTGTGAGCAATTGCGGATTTGCATTGAGCTTTTACTGACCAATTATGAGCACTTACTTATTAATCTGAGTGGTTTAGGAAAAAACAATTTTGTATTTTAAATTATTAATAAGTAATTAAATAATTAATTAATAGTGTGAGCAATTGCGGATTCAAATTAAGCATTTTGTGAGCAATTATGAGCAGTTATTCATTTATAAAAAAGTTTATTGGTTTTAAGTAGAATAGACAAAACCAATTCTGTATTTTAAATTATTCATAACTATTTATATAATAGATAAATAATGTGTACAATTGCAGATTTGAATTGATCATTTAGTGAGCAATTATGAGCACTTATTCATTAATCTTAGTGGTTTAGGAAAAACAATTTTGTATTTTAAATTTTTGATAAGTAATTAATTAATTTATTATTTGTGTGAACAATTGGGGATTTTCATTATAATTATATATATCATATTAATCATTTTGTGAGCAATTATGAGCATTTATTCATTCTAAAATTGGTTTATTGGTTTTAAGTATAATAGACAAAGACTATTCTGTATTTTAAATTATTAATAACTATTAAAATAATAAATGAATAATGTAAGCAGTTGCAGATTTGAATTGAGCATATAGTGAGCAATTATGAGCACTTATTCATTAATCTGAGTGGTTTAGGAAAAACAATTTTGTATTTTAAATTATTAATAAATAAATAAATAATTAATTAATAGTGTGAGCAATTGCGGATTTAAATAAGCATTTTGTGAGCAATTATGAGCACTTATTCATTTATAAAAAAGTTTATTGGTTTTAAGTAGAATAGACAAATCCAATTCTGTATTTTAAATTATTCATTACTATTTATATAATATTTTAATAATGTGTACAATTGCAGATTTGAATTGATCATTCAGTGAGCAATTATGAGCACTTATTCATTAATCAGAGTGGTTTAGGAAAAAACTATTTTGTATTTTAAATTATTAATAAGTAATTAAATAATTAATTAATAGTGTAAACAATTGCGGATTTCAATTAAGCATTTTGTGAGCAATTATGAGCACTTATTCATTTCAAAATTGGTTTATTGGTTTTAAGTATAATAGACAAAAACTATTCTGTAATTTTAATTATTCATAACTATTTAAATAATAAATTAATAATGTGACAAATTGCAGATTTGAATTGAGCATTTAGTGAGCAATTATGGGCATATGTTCATTAATCTGAGTGGTTTAGGAAAAACAATTTTGTATTATAAATTATTAATAAATAATTAAATAATTAATTAATAGTGTGAGCATTTGCGCATTTAAATTAAGCATTTTGTGAGCAATTATGAGCACTTATTCATTTTAAAATTGGTTTTTTGGTTTTAAGTATAATAGACAAAAACTATTCTGTATATTAAATTATTAATAACTAATTAAATAATAAATTAATAATGTGAGCAATTGCGGATTTGCATTGAGCTTTTACTGACCAATTATGAGCACTTACTTATTAATCTGAGTGGTTTAGGAAAAAACAATTTTGTATTTTAAATTATTAATAAGTAATTAAATAATTAATTAATAGTGTGAGCAATTGCGGATTCAAATTCAGCATTTTGTGAGCAATTATTAGCAGTTATTCATTTATAAAAAAGTTTATTGGTTTTAAGTAGAACAGACAAAACCAATTCTGTATTTTAAATTATTCATAACTATTTATATAATAGATTAATAATGTGTACAATTGCAGATTTGAATTGATCATTTAGTGAGCAATTATGAGCACTTATTCATTAATCTTAGTGGTTTAGGAAAAACAATTTAGTATTTTAAATTTTTGATAAGTAATTAATTAATTAATTATTTGTGTGAACAATTGGGGATTTTCATTATAATTATATATATCATATTAATCATTTTGTGAGCAATTATGAGCATTTATTCATTCTAAAATTGGTTTATTGGTTTTAAGTATAATAGACAAAGACTATTCTGTATTTTAAATTATTAATAACTATTTAAATAATAAATGAATAATGTAAGCAATTGCAGATTTGAATTGAGCATTTAGTGAGCAATTATGAGCAGTTTTTCATTTAAAAAAAAGTTTATTGGTTTTATGTAGAATAGACAAAACCAATTCTGTATTTTAAATTATTCATAACTAATTAAATAATAAATGAATAATGTGAACAATTGCAGATTTGAATTGATCATTTAGTGAGCAATTATGAACACTTATTCATTAATCTTAGTGGTTTAGGAAAAAACAATTTTGTATTTTAAATTATTAATAAATAATTAATTAATAGTGTGAGCATTTGCGGATTTAAATTAAGCATTTTGTGAGCAATTATGGGCAGTTATTCATTTAAAAAAAAAGTTTATTGGTTTTAAGTATAATAGACAAAAACAATTCTGTATTTTAAATTATTAATAACTATTTAAATAATACATTAATAATGTGAGCAATTGCAGATTTGAATTGAGCATTTAGTGAGCAATTATGTGCACCTATTCATTAATTTTACCAGTCATACTTCCAAGCCAACTTCTTTGTGCTTAATAATCCCTCAAAATTAAAAAGTTTTTCTGGCAGTGGTTTTTTTTTTTGTATAAGTTATATTAAAATGAGTATGTAATTTATTAAGGAATGAATGGAATATTATTACATTTCTTGAAAAAATAGTATATTAATGAATAAATGGAATGTTATTACTTTTTTATTTGTTTACTGGTGCATAAAACATTATTTTTCTTTAGAAAATCGTACATACGAGATCATAACGGGCAGCGATGAAAGTGGTAGTTATAGTCAAAGACTACAATGTTATATAGGGAAGTTATAGTTATGAGACTGATACTGAAACTGGACCGGCATTCTCCAAAGTAGCAAGAGCTGAACAAAAACGTAAGCAATACAAACAAAAGTTCAAATGTGAGTGGTTATATGTTATTTTATTAAATTTAAATTATTTTCACATACAGTTAAGTAATGTTTTCATAGTTTAAATTGACCAAAGTGGAGAAAATATATTTAGTTTGCCCACATTTATGGTGAACATTGTGTCCTTGCCCCACTCCAATGCTGCATGTGACAGTCTATTCAGTCGAGTAAATGATATCAAAACGGAAAAAAGACTGATTACGAAATCTATAAAGGGAACTCTGGCTAAAAAATGTATTCATCAAAATGAAAATTGTGTTGATTTTATACCATCTTAAGTATGCCTTTCGATGGTGACAAGTAAAAAAAAATAACTTCGTCTATTGATGACCAAGAAGTGGATCTTTTTGAAGGATAATTTATTTCTAATAAGAAATGATCAAAAAAATTTGTATTTTGTTTTATATTGACATGGTAATATACACTGTAATTTAAAAATTAATCTAAGGTAATTACACTTAAAGCACTGTAATTTTAGTCTGCTGACGCGATAGCTTGCAATTTTCATCTGGTAGCACTGATGTTAATGTTATTATGTTATGGGAGTTTTGGCGGGAAATTGACCGGCGGCGGTTTGCTGCTCCTGCATTATTGTTTAAATAATGGTTTGAAGTGGACTTTGATATGTAAAAGTGTTGCGATTTTGTGTATTAAGTGTCTACGCATGTGAACTATTAGTGGAAACAGTGAAACAAGTGCTCTGATGGTGATGGATTCTCAAGATAAGCTGTTTGTTTGCATAGGCACCTTTAGATACCATCGCCAACTATCAGCTGTCTGCTGGATCAAGTTGCCGCCAAAATCTCCCAAGAACTGCACAATGTGACGCATCAACATATTGTGAAGCAGTATACTATGAAGGAGTGGGGAAATTACAATAAACCGAATAAAAATACTTAAGACTTGGCCTAAAGGTCTAGATACCAGGCCATAAACTCCAAAAAAAAAATTATTATGTTATTTTAATTTTCTTAGCTGGCTACATTTGTATTTGTTTTCGTCAAATCAAATGTTAAGTGTTTTCCTAGCATTTTATTTTTGTTTTAGTTGTACAGCTACAAAATAAACAAAGTTGCATGTCCAATAAAGACTAGAAATGGCAAATCAAGAGATAAGCTTAAAGTGGAATGGATATCAAAGCAATATATTGTCCAATGTTAAAGAATTGTATAAAGATGAGGGCTTATCGGACGTCACGTTGGTCTCAGAAGGGCATAGTTTTAAGGCTCATAAAGTGATTCTTTCTGCAAATAGTTCTGTGTTTAGGTCAATATTTCAGGTAAAAATTACAATCTTTTGCGTAGGCGACTAACCCATGTCGATTTATGTCTTACGCCCACTCTTTTTGTTGCAGCAAAACCCCCACAAGGATCCAATTATAGTACTTCATGATGTCAATACCGCGTCTTTGCGAACACTCTTGACATTTATGTACAATGGAGAGGTAAATGTAACAGAGGATTTTTTACCAGTTCTCCTGAAAACTGCAGAAACATTGAGGATATGTGGTTTGTCAACTGGGAGTGAAGATACGCGGGATGAGGACGTAAGTGTTTTCTGTAATATTTTTATTTAGTTATAATTGTACCAGCGTATTTGTAAAGTAAGAATTTTTTTGTTAAGCTGTACATTGAATACTATAAATGATTTAAGTTAAGCTTTAGTTAAGATTGTTGTTATATGATTATTGGTATTGAAAAGATGCATTACAATAAATTAAGTTCTATTTGGGATTATGATATAGAAAGAGTCAATTAATAAAAACATTGGCTTAGCTTTCCATTGACGTCAGTGGAGTTTGGTGTTGATACGTATTTTTACAGAAAGATTACACTATTATAAGCACACACACAATGTCTCAATATACGGAAACGCGTAATTTTTGAGAAAAGAATAATTGAAAATCAATTATTCTTGCAATGTTTACGTCTAATTTGCTAATAAACTGGCGCCATTTTGTAATGTCATTGTCGACGTCAATAGGGATGTCGATTCTTTCCGAAAAAGGTCGATTTTTAAATCGATTCAAATCGTAAGCTGATGTATCGGTTCACAAAAAATCGATTTCTAAAATGTCTATATTTTTTTAATGTTTCTATTTATAATGTAAATATAAACCCATTTTATGAAAAACAAGAAAGATACCATGATAAATGATCTCTTATTGAAATTTGTTTTATTTAACAGTACCTATTAGGGCAGATAAATAAAATAGGTTAGGTTCAACTTATGTCAAAGAACCGAATTGATTGACCCCGACTCCACCTGGTACGAGTCTGTCCTACCCCTAGAGTGGTTTTATAGAGCCGGAGGCGCGTAGGGGGAGTAGCCTCCGCAGCTTCGGCTTGTTGGTCGCCTTCGGCGACCAGCCTCAGCCGCTCCGGCTCGTCCGATGCCTGCGATTTGTTACGCTAAGGCGTAGAGGTTGCTCTTCCCGCAGCGCCGGAGACGTAGCAGTCTCAAAATAGATACAGAAATCCGTATGAATCAGTTCCCTTATTTTTTTATGATGAAGGGGATTTTTTTCTCATAAAATGGATTTATATTTACATTATAAATGTAAACATGAAAAAAAAATCGATATTTTAGAAATCGATTTTTTAGGAATCGATACATCAGCTTACGATTTGAATCGATTTAAAAAGCGACCTTTTTCGGAAAGAATCGACATCCCTATTGACGTCGACAATGACATTACAAAATGGCGCCAGTTTATTAGCAGATTAGACATAAACATTGCAAGAATAATTGATTTTCAATTATTCTTTTCTCAAAAATTACGCGTTTCCGTATATTGAGACTTTGTGTGTGTGCTTATAATAGTGTAATCTTTCTGTAAAAATACGTGTCAACACCAAACTCCACTGACGTCAATGGAAAGTCGTACCAAAACATTTATTTTTTAAATTATTATATGGCCATGGATGCTGATGCTAATAAGTCATATCATTGTGAGATTTTGATGACAGCTTAACCTGGCAAACTGTTGAAGACAATCATAGTATAATATGTATATATATTGTAAACTTTTTTGTTGACAATTTAGATTAATACAATATATTTTGTGTTTTAATTAATTTGCTCAACTTACAGTCTACCTGATGGTAAGTGGTTACTGCAGCTTATGAAAACTTGTAGCCAATTTCTAACAAAGGAGGCTTCTTATGTGTGTTACCTCTGAGGACTAACTTGGAATGTCTTATAGCCTGTAATAATACTGGCTCTCCAAAACCCCTTTATATTACTTTGGGGGCAGAAATAGGTGGGTAGCACCTACCCAGACACTCCTACGAAGAAAACCACCTTGCAAGACAGGTGAAGTCCACAAACAAACACTGGAGCAGAAGAGCGGATACTTCCTTGCCCTAAAACTCACAGGATCATATATAAGCAGTAACTTTACATTTTTTTATGTTACATACTATTCTTTAGCAAAACATACTTAAGAACAACTTTCAGTGGATTTTTTATTTTCAATAATATCTTCATCAATTTGTGAAAGTCCACTGCTAAATATAAGCCCCTTCAAGTAAGAGGAAGGATTTGCCTTATTTGACATGTACCAGATGTCTTGCAACATAGACCCTGTTAAAATAACTAAAAATACCTCAAATAACTAAAAAAACAAACAGACATTAATAAAATGAACCAAATGAAAGTGAAAATCCTTTTGTAATGACATGAGTGTTAAGGTGTGCACTTAGGATTTTCCAAAATTTTTGAGATTTTCTTTGCTAAAATTAATAACACCTCAAACGCACAAAAGCGAGAGAGATTGTGCTTTACTGTCTATTTGACAAAGTCACTGGACCTACTCTTATTGAATTTTTTATATTATTTTTAAATATTTCGTTAAATCTTACAGAAAACTACATCATCTCAATCAAAAAAACGAAAAAAGAATGAGCATGAAGACAATAATAATAAACATAAGAAGCGTCATACATCTGCCAAGTCTGATACACCCATAAATAATAATAATTGTTGCAATTCAGACACAATGAAAAATTCCGTAAGCTTAATTTTTTTCCATACTTTTATATAAAAAATTGTTTTACCCAGTATGTGTAAGTAAAACATTGTGAGGAAAGTTGCACATCAGAGAAACAAGAAAAAATAACATTTTGAAGACTTAAAGTTTGCCAACAAGCATTGGGGTAGTTGTGTATCGACAGCAACGCAAAGTCAGAAATTGCATTTAGAAAAACCCAAAATTAGAGGCTTTTTAGGTGCTAATTAGGTGCCAAGTTTAAAAATTAGGTGCTCTAAAATTTTCACTGCAACAAACTGTTGAAATTTGCATTGCTAGCAAAACGTATCGCCAGCAATGCAATGATGTTATTAGATATATGATAAATATTAATAGCAAGGAATTAAGTGCTAATTAGTATAGGCAATGACAAGGTGCCCCTAATAAAAATAAAGTCATTATTCAGAACAAAGCAGATGCAAAATTCAGGTTTTCTGAATATCCGAATAGAATCAAAATTACTTTTATAAAAAGTCCAAATTAGGGGGGGCTTTTTAGGTGCTCATTGGGGCAGCGTGGTGGACACTTCCTCGCCCTAAAACATTCAGAGATGATAGGAGGCCTGTGTCCAGCAGTGGGATGTATACATAGGCTGTAACTTTAACCCAGTATGTTGAACAATTGGATGGTTTAATAAATAAAACCAACTTATTCAAATTTATTTTACAGACTATTGTACCTAAAGTTGAACCAATTGACTCACCATTAACTGACTACTCAGGCGATAATACAAATGACACAGACATTGCTCTACTAGAGGATAATCTGGAGAAAAAATATTCAGTGGGATCTGAAAGCCCATCAGGAAAATCAGTATGTTCCACAATTTTGAGTGATGGCAAAGTGAAGAAATGGATAAATGAAGTCAGTAGTACACAGCCTTGTCTTAATACAAGTAATGACAAAGCTAATGGTATAGATTCCATAGAGGAAGATAGAGATAGTGTTGAAATAGACAAGGAAGTTGAAACAGTATTGCAAAGTGGAACGATTGTGGAGTCATTAAGTGTTGCAACTGAAAGCTTGAATTCTGTTTCATGTGAGGTTCAAAGCATTAAAGGTAATAAGATGTTCTGAACATATAAACTTGCAGTGAAATTTGAGAATAGTGTTCTCAACTTTCAGTTGTTGTAAGGCGTTAAACTTGCAGTGAAATTTGAGAATAGTGTTCTCAACTTTCAGTTGTTGTAAGGCGTTTTGATACCTACAAAGTGTTTTACTCTCCTATTCTTCTTAAAAGCTCATAAAATCCACTGCTGAATATAATGTACATCCATAATATAGCAAACTTGCCATTATCGACACCCTTGGTACTTTGATCGCTGTCGCTGTACCAGAGGTCTTGCGTCTTGGATGCTGCTCTCTGTCATTGCATTGAGGTTATACTGAGGAATAAAAAGGTGATAGCATCTTTTATAGGAGCTAATAACATCTTATGATATGGGGGGATGGATTTTATTTTGCTACCATCACACAGTAGACAAAAGTAACTATGATTTTTGTGTTCAATGTTTCCAGAATTTTCTCTTGATAAATAAAGCCAAAAGCTTATGGAATTATTAAACATTACTGCTTAAACATTAACTTGCACATAAATGTATTACCATTGTACTTGCTCATATGCGGTGACCGACATCATCAGATATTGCGAATTTTTGGTGAACAAAGGGCTACTTTATTTGAAACGTTTTTGCTTAATATCAGGAATTAAGAAGCGAAACAAATAATTAGCCGATTAATAATCTAATTCACTAACATGCCTTTCATGTTATTGAAAAATATTTTATACTTTGTCACTTAAAAAACAAGCACTCAAACATCAAAGTATTTTATTATTTCGATTAATGTAAAGTATTTATAAAATTAATTTGATTAAGAATTTTATTGAGTAATTCATGTTTGCACATATTTTTTTGCTCGCATATACTATTTCAAGAACCTGGCCTGGCTTTCACCTGGCCTTCCGTAATGGGATGCCCTCAAAGAAGAGTCGAAAATAGAATGATTTAAAACAATATATTTCTTGTACACAGGATACTTACCTTGTTTATTTTCTTAAACTTTAAATAAAAGTGTTTAATTACTTCTGTCATATTTTCGTTTCAATATGTTGTTTTTTGTTTTTTTGTCTTATTTAAGTATAATTGTATCCCAATTTCAGATAAATCCAACACATGTTATGCAAACCCTTCATTCCCTTGTCCTTTTTGCCCTCGTGTGTATAATAGCTGGGGATATAGAAGAAGACATGTAAAATCCAGGCATATGACTAATAGGTGAGTTACACTTTTGAAGTATATTATCTCATTAAAGCTTTTTATTTAAAAATCATGAAATTTCTGTTTATAAATACTAAGTTGTATTTGCCACATATATTTTTTATGTATATCTTATTCGTTTTTCTTCTACATTATTATACAATAAGGGTCTTAACTATTGTAGGATTTGCTGTAATAGCCATGTTTGGCAAACATTTTGATGATGCAGTACCAAATTACTAAATGATGCACATTTGGTGCTGCCCCTGTCAACAGTCTGAGATTTTTAGCATAACTCTAATGACTTTTCCAATAGTCGCCTCTTAAGATATATATCTTAAGTTACATGGTGATTTTTAATTGGAAATGTAATATTGTACAGCCAGCAGTAATTAGCAATGTGCGAATAAAGGTTCTCATATACCAGCATTGCACTTTCAGGTGCAATATTATAGAACAATGTAGGAATTTATGAAGTGACATTCTGATATTATAGTATAAACTAGGTGATACCCGCGACTTCTTCCGCGTTGCTTACATACATCACTGAACACGTAGTGCTTATAAAAATCGTTGTTTTTTAAATACTTTAATAACTTTATATTAAATGAAGATATCGCAATATTTTTTTTAGATAAGGGCCAAATGTCTAAGAAATAAAACTTATAAAACCTAATTGAAATCTATCCAGTAGTTTTTCCGTGATGCGCGCACAACTGCAAACCTCTATAATTTTTTTAATATGGGTTATGAATTCTGAGAGTTTTAAAAGTTGAAGAAATGAAATATGCCTGCACGATGATGGAATAACTAAAATGTATAAAAAATTATTTGTTTTAATTATCCATATTGGTAATTGCATGTAGCAATATAATATGGAGATAATAGTGTATGGAAATGTGTCTAGTAAATCGGTCACGAAACTTTGTGCAAAGACCAGCTGTGAACTCTACAGACTTGGTGATGAAGTTAACATCTTTTATGCTACATTTCAGATTGTCATGCAAATGGTGCGTTTCAGTCTTACCATCCACTGGTGCTTGGTATTCTCACGCAACACGAACCCATGGTGTAGCTCACGAGGAGGCTAGAAACTCTCTGGTAGTTATGGTAGAAGCTCACGCCGTGCTGACTTTGAACGAGCCAAGTGTTACACAGTTGTTGGGTCAAGTTGGAATTTCAGACACGAACAATGGCAGTATAAATGAGAAGATTAATTAGGGTATGTCTAATGCTGCATATTCTCTTTACAGATAGTATGACATAAATGAAGAGAATTGATGTTCTTACAAGTCAATATTTTATACTCTGGTAAGGTCATATTTTATATGTGACTTGAAAAATGTGCACAAATTATATAAAAAAATGGCATATTCAATGCATATGGAACATTAGATAGCAAACACATCAATAAAAATACTAAGTCTATACAAATAAATAAAATTGAAGTGTCTCTTTGTAATGTCGAAATAATAGCTTTTTACTATATGCATATGGAAGTATCTATATACATCCATATGCATATAGTAAAAAGCTATGGTATGGTAACCGTATGGTACTTATGACAAAAACGATTTTTAAAATTTAGTTTTCTGTCTGTCTGTCTGTTAGTTCGGGCTAATCTCCGAAACGGCTAGACCGATTTTGACCGGACTTTCACTGGCAGATAGCTGATGTTATAAGAAGTAACTTAGGCTACTTTTATTTTAGAAAAAGAATTAGGGTTCCGTGCAAAAAATTAAAACCCAAGAAATCCAATCGTGATAAATTACGCATGGGCGAAGTCGCGGAGAACAGCTAGTAATAAATATAACACAAACAGGCAGGTTTAATCGTAACATACCCAACAATCAATCAATCATCAACATCGAGACTTGGATTGACACTTGACACCTGGACACTATTCGCAAGCTTCAGCTTTGTAGAGCCATGTCTCTGTCAATTGCATTCATATGACATTTTTAGGCGAGTTATTAGTCAGTCGTTCTAAAAGATTTTCAGTTTGCATTGACTTCAAAGTACATAATATAATGTTGTTAAGTCTGTATCTTAGATATTTTTTTACTTATTCATAAGAAAGGTGGTTTTAATGCCGCTTGGTAGATACAGGACTTAATAATTTGTATAACAGAGACAACTCCCTGCAAAACTATAATAGCATATAGTCTTTTTTAAAGCTTGACCTCTTATTTTAATTGCAAGGTACTATACTCAGTTTGCGTCAAGTGTACTGATACACTGCAAATCAGAAAAAACAATATTGTGTATATTCCCAATACACTTTGGCTGCTTTTATAATATACGAATAAGCTTTGTAAACAAAAGTTGAAAATTTTCTTTACATGTTGCATGTACTAATTTGTTGGATTATTGCAGTTATAACAAACATTCTAAATACGTACATACACATACATAACGTCACGCCAGTAATCCCTGAAGGTGTAGACAGAGTCCAAAAAGCAGCAAGTTATTCGGACCATGTTCAAACAAAAAATATGGATGTAAATGAAAACTTGTGAAAGAAGGGATAGGTGACAAGCTCATTGCCTTCACAATTACAAACCCAATATTCTATTTATTGCTTTTTACCGATATGCTAGACAAGTAACACACACATAAATTTTTGTTATAATATCAACATGAGACAAGACTAAATAATAATACGGCTCAAATAATATGTTTTTAATTTATTGATAATATCACTCACATAATATATTAAAATGTAAAGATACAAATAAGTAAACAAACATTGTATACATAATAATGACAATCAATTTCACTGCCCAAAGAAGCTATACTGTTTTGTTTTAAAACAATTAAATGTTATTCAATTTAAGTAAGATATTAACAAAGATAGTAAAATACTAAATCATTAATATAGAAACATTATTAGCGTCCACCACTCCATTTATTTTAAATATGACATTAAATATAACAATGTATGGTTTAATTTATTATCACTGTCTAATAAGTCTATAAATTATTGTAGGTCATGATATTTTAATAGAACAGTCTAACTCTAATGCCAGTTAATGCCAGTATGTAGGATATACACACAAATATATATTAACAAATATATTTTCATATGGTCTTTGTGTAGCTCGAAAATAAAAGGTTAAATAAATTCAATATCTCTGCAAAAATCAAAGAAAATAATTGCTAATAAAATAAATAAATGTATCTAATTACAGCAGCAAGCCTCGCAAATGAAATGTTGACTAAAGTAAAGATATAATTAATATAACCTACGATACGGCCGCTGAGAGAATGAGATCCTGACAGTTCATAATCGGACGGCCGATGTAACTAAAGTGGCGAACAATTTACGATAAGAATATTTTTATCGTTTATTTGAACTACTTATACAAAATTTAAAGTCAACTTACAGTAAACTAAATTAGTTTAGTATTAAATTTAATCTATACATATAATAAAACTGTAAATAGCAGATGTCTGTACATTTTATATTTTTGTAATAAAAGTGATTGAGGGGTACTAAAAATAAGTAATTAAATACATTTCTACCATTTTTAGAATTTTCTGTCTGTCTGTCTGTCTGTCTGTCTGTCTGTTTGTTTGTTAACGTATCACGTATAAAGTACTAATTTATATCATAAGAATTGTTAAGGAAATTATAAAGTGTATCTTCGGGTTACATTTAGTCTTTATTTCATTAAAATCAGTTCATTCCATCAAAAGTTATGATAAATATTCTGAAGTATGGGTAGGGAAGTATAGGTACGAATTTGCTCAACGGTGGCTTTGTTTGAGTCATCAAGTGCATTTTAAACTAATATCATATCATAAATCATAGTTAAATTATGTAAAATAATGATATAATTATGTATATCTAAAACGCAGTAAACAAAAGTATTAAAGAACGTATTAAATATATTATACAAAAATATATTAACCTTATTAACTAAATCTGAAGCACAATAGTTAACCCATTTCTTCGATAGATGGTGGTGTGGCATAAATGTGATACAAAAAGGCAGGTTAAAATTTATTCCTGTAGTTGAGTTTCATATTGGCTTCTAACCTTTATATTAATGACACGCTGCCCTACTGCGTGTTGACAATCTCATTTATTTTTTATTTTTTTACCGCCGAGTACTCTATGTGGTAAATCAAATTTTAAGAGCTATTAACAATTTCATTTTTCGGCGAGGATCAAACTTTCTTTTTTGCTTACTATGCAGGCACTGATTTATAAGTTCTTTTATGTTTTTTATTGTATCAATCGTGTGAATTAATCTCTTATTTTTAGAATTGATGTTAACAGCGCCATCTCTCTTAAATCTATACATATAATAAAAATGGTAATAACATGTTATGTCTGTTTCTGAATATTGTATAGTATATTAATTTGCGACTAAAATCATTATTGGGACTGTAAATCATTAAATAAGTACATTTTTATAATTTTTAGAATTGTACTATCTGACGGTCTGTCTGTTTGTTTATGGACGCATGACGTTTTGAGTAAACATCTTTTTTTTTTCAATGAAATCCTTAAGAAAATCATAAAGCGTATTATCAAGTTCATTTAATCTTTGTTTTATTGAAATTGGTTAATTCTATCGAAAGTCATGATTATTATTTTGAAATGTAGGTTCGAATTTGTTTAATGGCGCCACAAAATCCCAAAAATAGTAATAAAAAGATTCGTGTGTAAAAAAAACGTTCTATTATAATATATTTCGTATCGTTCTATTATAGTACTTAAAACACAGTAAAAATATGTTTTCCTTAAATTAAAAAAGGATGTTTTCTCACAAAGAACGTAATAGATGGCGTTGTACAAATTACAACATTTTCTGAATTGCGGTGTTAAGATTTTTCGCAGGTGAATCGTATTGAGACTCACTGTAATAATTTATGTCCATGAGCCCGACGAAGCTGCAAGCCTGTAAGGTATATATACAGAGGTATTGAAATACTTAACTTAATTATTCAACAAAACTCGACTAAAACTAAAAGTAACAAAATTGCAATAAATGTCGTGATGGTGATATTGTTTTATAGCCAGAATCACTCTAATACCAAATAACTTTTTTTTCAGTTTTAAGTAAAGTAAAGTTGCAGCCTATTTACGTCCCACTGCTGGGCACATGCCTCCTCTCATTTCTGAGAGGGTTTTAGGGCAAGGAAATGTCCACCGCGCTGCCCCAATACGTGTTGGCGAACTTCACATGTCATCGAAATATTATTTTTTATTTCTCAAACATGCAGGTTTCCTCACGATTTTTTCCTTCACCGCCGAGCACGTGGTAAATCAGCACTTAAAATTGCAATTGACAATTTCATTGGTGCCGGCGGGGATCGAACCCGGGTTGCTCGAGTACTGTGAAGCTTACAGCGAGCGCTAACCATCTGAGCTACCACGGCTCAGGCTTCAGTTTTAAGATAGGGATAATAACATCGATGTTGGCATCGCTAGCTCAACATCGATGTTCGATGTTTAGGCCACTCAAAACATCGATGTTGACCATTATCGATGGTTTTTGTATATGTGTAGATAGTTACACATTGTTTTAAAATTATGTGGATATACACAGCAAGGGAAAAGTAACAATTAACTTGAATATCAATTTACGTAGAATAGTTATTATGCGACAACCGACAACGACACTACAAAATAAAGCGAAAGCAGTGACCATTGTGACATTACAGGAGACACTTGACAATTAAGTTTGACTCACCATACTGACATTTTTTTAGATTAACGATGCGTTCAGAAATTCTGAATTATTCAAAATTTTTAATCTTCAGAGCAGATGCAAGATTTAGTTGATATTGATTTCGCGAGTTCGCATTGTTTGCAAGTTCCCAATTATCGATTATGGGTTCATTGACGTCGATGTTTCGATGTTTGACATATGTCAACATCGATGTTAAAACATCGAAGTTTTAATTTTTAACATCGATGATCATCTAACATCCCTATTTTAAGTGTGTTTCCCACTCAGCGTGTGTTATGCGACGATCGTAAATAAAGCGCAAGGTCAAACTTTACGCGTCAGTACTGATTGTTTTGCACATGGCCAGCTCTATATTGCTTTTTCTCGCGTTAGTAGTCCCCGTAACCTTTTTCTGTACGCCCCGGCTAAGTCTACTTCTATCGTCGTTTACACAGAAGCTCTATCATAAACGACTTAGAACTTTGAGAATATCGATTTATTTTGTTACCACTTATTCATAGAGTAATGATATAAATC